CCGCAATGTTTTCTGAACCAGTTTCTGTTTTTGCGGCCTTTGCGTTTAGGTTACTATCAGATGTTTTTTTTTTGGTAGGGACCATAAATAGCACGGTTTCTGTGCCACACCAACAGCTATTTTTTGCAGAATGTTTTGGAAATGGTGCGACGAATTGTAACCCACGTCAAGGGGACTTCGCGAGTCATGATTGATCTGACAAGTAAACCTCCGGGAACGACGGAATGGGAATGAGTTGAATCTCCGTTTGCCGATTCTACCGCGATGACTCGATGGTGCTATCTCAACCATATCTCCCATTCGGCAGTTTTCTACTCCTTTTGAGCGATATCACTTCTAGGCGGTGTTGCGGTTAGTCTATCAGTCAATGTATTGCCGTTAGCCGTAACGAATGTACATATTCTAGTGGCAATACATTTACCATTATAAAATATTAGTTAGGAAAAATCGTTAGTTCACTATAGCACGTTGTTACCTGAACATGTGGATTATTGTTGACTTGTTGGACGTCTCGCACAAATTTCCCGCTCAATTTAGCATTTGTGTTCTTAGTCATTCACTACTTTTCTGAAACTGCACATACCATCTTGAAAATGTGCACGGGAAGTCGCTAAATGAAATGGTAACCGGTACGCATGTCTAAATGAGGGTTTATGCAGTGGTTCAACTTGTGTTTCAACATAAGGGAAAGTATCTGAGTATTACTAACATAATATACAAAAACTTCCGAGGGGTATTTGCTTATTCATCTTCTGTGAATCAACCTGGCAGATTTTCGGGTTATCATCATTCATATTAGAACGAAAATCCACTTGTATCTGGCCTTTAAGACTGCCGCGAAGGCCTGCGAAATTGCCACATCATTCTTGCAAAAGGATAAAGGATAAAGCATTTGCCGTTGATCAATCCCTTTTTGGGATGCGGCACGCATTCTACTTCCATTTGTACATTCGTAGTGGCGTTTGAATGCGATGTGGCCTATACAATGACTTGCGGGGCCAGCCGATGTACAAGTCAGTGTTTTTATCCTCCCAGACAAGTCTGGTACCAATTAACCGACCCCGGAGGGATGGAAGGCTTGGTTGGCCCGACTCACGACCAGTCTGTGGAGGCTACCTCTTTTAAGAGCAGCACTTCAACTTTTCCTACATCTCGTTTCCATCTAAAGTGCTCGCTGAGCTACTTTACGTAATCGAAAGCCGGTTTGTGTTGTTCTAAAATGAACTAGGGTTTTCTTCCCAAATCTCTAGTTCTGCCCCAATCCCGAATAACGTGTTATTCCGGTCGCTTTTTTTCCGGAGTCACGTGGGTTCTTCATGATGTAGGTCAAGTTTAATACGTGGATTAATGAACTGGAATATGATTATTATTGCATCATTGCATTATCACTGAAGTCTCGTTAACGTTGTGTTTTTATTGTAAACATTGATATTGCGGTTATACTCCAATGTTCTTGTTTTATTCTTTTGATTTTCATGTTCTAAATCTTGCCTGACTGTCTTGTTGGGAAGTTGACACGTTTATTATGTTTAAAGAGATTGGATCATGTTAGATAGCATATGCACATGTGATGATATACTTGATATGAGTTATGTGTAGTCCCATCTTTTTTTCACATTCCGTTTGTTGAAACTATCGAAATCAAATGTTTATGAACTGGAGTAGTATTGTAGCTCTCGTATATAGTTGCGTTGTTTTCCTGTAGTTAAAGTCGCCATGGTGAGGACATAGTTGTTGTTGTTGATTAGTTATCGCTGACATTTCCCGGTCGTGCATAGCCATCAGGCAAGTGCTAGCTGAATATTATCTCTTCCTGGCAGTGCTGCAATACCAGTCATGAAATCTGAGGTAATAAATGGCCGCAAAACAAAAGATCGCTTATAGGAATTGACTTCGGTAGGAGGGCGATCGAAGTGGATAGGAACCATTACAACAGGCATCTGAAACCATTAACGCAATCTTGAAAGCGAGGGAATAATAAAAATAGAAACGATAGGGGGAATGAAGCCATCGTGTGATCGCTTCTTCTTCAATATACTCGGGATGAAGACCAGCAAAACCATTGACAAAAATTTCATCCACTACAATATCCGATAATGGGCATGCTACATTGGCTGGTGATCGTGGTCGGCTATGAAGATTAAACTAAGAGGAATGTCAAAATAATTATGCCAAACCCCAATGATACTTTCTGTAATCGACTAATTGCTAGCTTCCGCGATCATCGGAGAAAAAGCAATGGAAAAGTAGCCTGACTGATTCACTTCATAAACCTTTAACCGGCAAAAATACTGCTTGAAGGAACGCACCGGGATTGATCACTAAAGTAATCTGTTCAATGAGTAGGATGATAAAGCTGTGCGAAGGTTAATGCGCTACACGGCGAATGGGGACGGCAAAGGCTCTAGGGCCTTGTGAATGCTCCCGGTTGTTGGCTGTGAGTAGAAGTCTCATCGTCCGTTATGCAGCGGCCATTTATCTGTGCCTTCATGCCTGCAAACGGCGCGCTCTTTCGCATATCTCGCTTCTTTGAGCGCAGCACCTCCGACGAACCACGGCCAACCTTGCAGAAGGTTTAAGCCCGCGATGTTTTAATGTTTCCGCTAGTTTCTTTCAAAATGGGACGGAGAATCCAAAAGTTAAGGGAACACTAGAGGAAAAGAGATCAAAAAAGGAGTGAGGAAAAGGAAACCACCTGTTGGACTTTTTTGCTGAGATCTTCCAAGTCGGGATCACGGCTACCATCTGTACGTCTTCCGTGTAGAGCTTCAGTAGCCAAATGATCGGCCTAACAAAATGATAATATGCAACTTAAGCAACTTAGAAGTAAAGTAAAGCTGCACTAACCTCTTGCAAAACTTTTACTGTAAATGCGTTGAGAAACGTCGGAGTGATAGTAGTAACCGGGTAGTTAATCGGTCCACCAAAAACGTAAACGACCCTTTAATTTGAAAAATTATGAATTATGTTT